GGATGGGCAATCCCATGGGATGTTTCCCAAGGATGCAGGTTGCTCCCTGATGTGGAGGTGGGATGGGCAATCCCATGGGATGTTTCCCAAGGATGGAGGTTGCTCCATGATGTGGAGGTGGGATGGGCAATCCCATGGGGTGTTTCCTGGGATGCAGGTTGCTCCATGACGTGGATGCAGGACACCTGAGCTTCGTGGAGGAGGTGTTTGAGAACCAGGTCCGGCTCCCTGGGGGGCAGTGGATCCACATGACCGACGCCTACACCGACGTGGTGAGGGAAAAGCGGGAATGCTGGAGCTGGGGTGGGAATGCTGGAGCTGGGCACCACCCCGGGCTGGGAGTGCTGGAGATCAGGGGGGATTTATGGATCCTTTTGTTGCCAACACCCCCTGTGTCCCACAGAACGGGGAGAAGGTCCTGCCCAAGGAGGAGATTGAGTGTCCTCCGGGCTGGAAATGGGAAGACCTGGAGTGGGACACGGATCTCAACAGAGCTGTGGATGAGAAAGGTACCAGGGAGCACTTTGGGGGCCCTGTGCTCATCCCCCATCCTGCTCTTCCCTCCCCAGGGATGAGACATGTCCTGGATCCCTGCTGGATCAGGAGAGGGGGGGTCAGGCCCTGGGGGACCCTCCTGCTCGGGCTGGGGGTGGGAATTCCCAAAGGCAGCGCTCTCCTGGCTGCTGGGATAGTCCAGGGACAGCTCCCCGAAATTCTGGTGCGAGAGAAACGGAAAACATGAGGCCAGAGATGGTCACAGGGGTCAGGGCGGCCCGAGGGAGGGAGGACAGAGAGTCCCCAGGCTGTGACTTGGAGCCAAGGGCCACCAGGGATCCTCCAGCTGGACATCCTAGAGGGACACATCCATGGGGATCCTCCAGCTGGACATCCTAGAGGGACACATCCATGGGGACCACCAAGGGCCACCAGGGATCCACCATTTGGGCATCCCAGAGGGGCACATCCATGGGCACCACCAAGGATCCACCAGGGATCCTCCAGCTGGACATCCCAAAGGGACACATCCATGGGGGACCACCAGGGGCAGGAGCAACAAACCGGGAAAACGCTTTGGATCCGGACACACCTTCCCTGCTGAGGGTCCCTGGTGGGACACAGGGAGGGGGAGGGCTCCTCACCCGGCTGTCTCCCGCTCTTCCAGGCTGGGAGTACGGGCTGACCATCCCCCCGGAGCGCCGGCCCAAGGCCTGGGTGCCGGCGGAGAAGATGTACCACACCAACCGGCGCCGGCGCTGGGTGCGGCTCCGCCGGCGCGACCTGGAGCACATGGACACCTCCCGGAAGGTGGGATGGGCCGGGGGGGTGTCCCTGTCCCGCCCCTGGCCCTCCAGGGGGAGGTGGTTCTGGCACAGAGCTGGTTTTCCCTGGAGCCGGTGGCCCCGCTCTCCGCGCTCGGGGGTTCCCATGGAGGGTCGGGGGTTCCCATGGAGGGTCGGGGGTTCCCACCTGGAGGGTCGGGGGTTCCCATGGAGGGTCGGGGGTTCTCATGGAGGGTCGGGGGTTCCCACCTGGAGGGTCAGCGTGTCCCGGGGGTGGCCTCCAGAGGGGCTTGGCGGGGCTCTGGGGCGGGATGGGGACATCCCGCAGTGTCACGGAGCGCGGGAGAGCGGGGCTGTCCCCAGCCTGTCCCCGGCCTGTCCCTGCCCCGCTTCCCTCTAGATGGTGCAGTTGGACCGGGAATGGCTCCTCCCGCCCCGTCCCGTCCCGCCGCTTCCCAAGCACGCTTGTCTCCCTTCCCAGCGCTTTTCCTGGATAACTGGGGCCGTGGGGAGCCCCTGGCGCCCTGTTTGCCAAGGGGGTGTGGGTGTCACGGGGAGGGGACGCAGCTCCGGGGAGGAAAAGCCACCGCAGGCTTGTGACCAGTGAGCCAGGGGGACATTCCAGAGGGGATGGAGCCGCGGGAAGGTGGGAAGGCTGGGGAGGTGGAGACACTGGATGTGACCCCCTCCTTGCTCAGCGTGGGGACCCCCCAGCCCAGTGACCCCGATCCCAGTGGGATTCACCCCAGGGACTGGGGAAGGGCTCAGTTCCCGGGGGGATACTCGGCACTGTTAATGGATGATCCCTGGAAGTGTCCAAGGCCGGGTTGGAGCGACCTGGGATAGGGGAAGGTGTCCCTGCCCATGGCAGGGGGTGGCACTGGATGGCCTTTAAGGTCCCTCCCCACCCATTCCACGATTCCCTGATGATTTTAAGGGTCATTCCCAACCTGAACTCGATGACCTCGGAGGTCTCCTCCAACCTAAACATTCCTGTGATCCTCTAAATGATCCCGTGCCTCTATCCCACGATTCCAAGCTGGGGAAGGCACGGGGAGGACACGGGGTGGCCCCACCGCGGCCCACAACACCCCGAAGCCCCCGAATCCACGTTTTTTTGCCGGAAAAGCCGGGTGGTTTCGTGCCGGGCGGTTTTCCCTCTGTCACCCGGGGGGTGGGGGGGCTTTGGCAGCGACCCCGCTGAGTCCCGGCGTGTCCCTCCTGTCCGGGCAGCCCAAGCAGGAGGAGCTGGACGGGGAAGGCTGGGAATACGCCTCGCTGTTCGGCTGGCGCTTCCACCTGAAGCAGCGCCGCACCGACTCGTTCCGCCGGCGCCGCTGGAGGCGCAGGATGGAGCCCCTGGAGCGCACCGGGGCCGCCGCCGTCTTCGCCCTGGAGGGGGCTCTGGTAGGGACCCCCTTCCCTGCCCCAAATCCTGCCCGGCTCGGGTCGGAGCTCGGTGTCAGCCGCTCGTTATCAGCTCCTCATCAGCTCCTTATCTCCCGCCCTCTTTGTTTCCCGGCATCCCAGCTCTCTGGGATTCCCCGATCCCTTGCTCTCCTCCCGATTCAAAGAAACCCTTGAACAATCCGAAAAGCACTTTTATGAGGGCCGGGGAGTGCCAAGGGGCAGGTGTTTTTCCCCCGGTGCACTCCGCCGAGCAAAGGAACACCGTAGCTTTTTATACAGTTCGAAAGCAGCAAGTTTAAAATTATCTATACACACGCTCTTTTTGCAGTCTGCCTTATCTAAACAGACGCTTAGTTTTGCCTCCTATTCTTACCATCATAGAGTAGTTACATAAAGTTTAACATTTCAAACAGTTTCAGGTTCCCCACCCCCTTTTCTAAAGTGCTAA